GCTGATAGGAGTGAGGGGAAGTGGGAGCGCCTGCTTGGTTGTCTGCTGGGCGGGAAGGCACCGGCGCGCTATGGCTGACGACCACCTGTTCGGTTTGTAGCTCTCCCAGGGGACGACTGCAGCTGAAGGCCGCGCGTTCCAGTGTGAACTCCTGACTCTCTATGCTGCGAGGAGGCTCGAGATATCCTCCATCATCCGCTCGGGGAGGCGTCGTGGACCTCCTTTCGGGGGCAGGCCGGTCTCCGAGCGCGGGCGCGCCCTCTGCGGCATTCCCGACTGTCGCCACGATTCTGCTGCCAGAGGGGGGCGCAATTTCGGCCGCATCTTCCGCCTCAAGAACGAGGCCGCCCCCGGGACGCTGATAGGAGCGAGGGGCTGTAGGAACTCCTGATTGGTCATTTCCTGGAGGGGAAGGCACCGGCGCGCTGTGGCTGACGACCACCTGTTCGGCCCGTAGCACTCCCAGGGGACTGCTGCAGCTGAAGGCCGCGCGTTCCAGCGTGAACTCCTGGCCCTCTGCGCTGCGAGGAGGCTCGAGATGCCCCCCATCATCCGCTCGGGAAGGCGTCGTGGACCTGATGTCGGGAAGAGGCCGGTCTCCGACCGCAGGCGCGCCCTCCGCGGAGCCACCGCCTGTCACCGCGACACTGCTACTAGGACTGGGCGCGCTGTCGGGGGCATATTCGGCCTCCACCAAGACTCTGTGCCTGGGGCGCTGATTGGTATGAGGAGCTGTAGCAGCGCCTGTAGATATGCCTGTCTCTGACAGAAGGAAAAACCGACCCGCTGCGGCTGACCACCGCGCGCTCTGTCTGTAACTCCCCCTGGCGACTGATGCAGCTAACGGCCGCTGGTTGGCGACTGTCCTCAAGAGAAACGCCGCCTCCAGATTTGCAGCAATCGTCAACCTCAGATTTACGATTGTCTTCAAGCGGGTCGGTTCTGCGCCCAGGGAGCGCGCTCGCGACGGCGTCCGCCGCGCGCCCAGCAGCTTGGGCCAGGGCCGCAACGGCCGTCCAGAGGGAGGCCTGCGCAGCCTTTGCGGCGGCAGCGGCGCAGGCACACGCGGCGGCGGCGGCGGCTGCGTCGGGCGTAGCACTGGCGCCGACTGCGCGGACGCTTGGGGCGTCAGCAGCGTCGGCGGCGAAGGCGGCGCGGGGCGCGGGCCGCCGGGCGCGGACGGCGCCACCTCGCCCGAGGGCGTCGGCTGCGTCCGCGGCCCTGGCCGGTGCGCGCGCGTGGGCCGCCGCAGCCACGTCGGCCCCCCAGACAGCGCTGGCGGCGGAGGCCGCGGCGGGGCAGCCATCGCCAGCGGCGCCAGCGGCGTTGGCGGCGCCAGCGGACGCGGACGCGCCCAAGGGAGAGGACGCCACCGACGCGTTGGCAGCGCCAACCGCTTTGGCCTCGCTGGCGAGCCCAGGGGGGCGGCCGCCGGCCGCGGCAGCAGCGCCCAGGCGGCGCTGATTCGCAGCGCGCCCTTGTCGGCGCCGCCGCGCCGCCGCAGTCTCCATCGCCCGGGGTTGAGCGCCAAACGCGTGTGGGGGGGGGGGGCGCGCCGTCGTGACTGCCAGACAGGGTTGCGACTGAAGGTTGCCCTTTCACTCTGCGCCTCCAGGCATCTGCTTGGGACCCCGCTACTTCCTCGGCTGAAGGCCGAATTTTTAATCGCACTGTCGCCAGGAAGCACGGGATTAATCGGCGAATCCGAAGTGGGATTGATCGGCATGCTGGGGGCTGGATCTGCCTGAGATGCTGGCTGCGCTGCGCGGTAACGACCCAGGGGGCAGCTGAAGGCTGCACTTCCGGTGAAAGAATCCTCCAGATAGTCGTCAGTCTCCCTGGTCACCACGGCTGGAGCCGCCTCGAAATTCAGGTCCCCAGGTCGAGGGGCCGCCTTCGAAACTCTGGTCACCACGGCTGGCGCCGCCTCGAAATTCTGAGTTCCTGGCCCCCTGAGGCTGGTGCTGCTGCAGCTGCTTCGGCTGCTGTTGCTGCCGCTGCTGCCCTGCTGGTGCGTCTGCCCGCTGGGGGCCAGTTGGCGCAGCAGCGGCGCGGCCGCGGCGACGCCGGCCGCGGCGGGCCCAAGCGCGGCAGCGCGGGCCACGGCGGCCGCGGCGCCGGCCGCGTGGCCCGCGGCCGCAGCGGCGGCCGCCTCCGCCAGGGCGCGGCGGCGGCGGCGGCGGCGGCGGCGGCCGCCGCGGCGCTGGCGGCCGCAGGGGCGGCGGCACGGCCGCCGAGCACGCGGAGCAGGCCCCAGCGGCGCCCGCGGCGCCGCGGCGCCCGCGGAGCCAGCGGCCTCGCCGGCGGCGGCGGCGCCAGCGCCGCGCCCGGCGCCAGCGGCGCCTGCGGCGCCGGCGTCGGCGGCGCCCGCGGCGCCACAGGCGGCGGCGGCGCCCGCGGAGCCGACGGCGCCGCAGGCGCAGGGGCCGCCAGCGGCGCCGGCAGCGCCCGGCGGCCGCAGAGGCGGCCGCGGCGGCCGCCGCCGCGGCCGAGGCGCCGCCGCGCCGCCGTAGTCTCCATCGCCCGGGGTTGAGCGCCAAACGCGTGTGGGGGGGGGGCGCGCCGTCATGACTGCCAGACAGGGTTGCGACTGAAGGTTGCCCTTTCACTCTGCGCCTCCAGGCATCTGCTTGGGACCCCGCTACTTCCTCGGCTGAAGGCCGAATTTTTAATCGCACTGTCGCCAGGAAGCACGGGATTAATCGGCGAATCCGAAGTGGGATTGATCGGCATGCTGGGGGCTGGATCTGCCTGAGATGCTGGCTGCGCTGCGCGGTAACGACCCAGGGGGCAGCTGAAGGCTGCACTTCCGGTGAAAGAATCCTCCAGATAGTCGTCAGTCTCCCTGGTCACCACGGCTGGAGCCGCCTCGAAATTCAGGTCCCCAGGTCGAGGGGCCGCCTTCGAAACTCTGGTCACCACGGCTGGCGCCGCCTCGAAATTCTGAGTTCCTGGCCCCCTGAGGCTGGTGCTGCTGCAGCTGCTTCGGCTGCTGTTGCTGCCGCTGCTGCCCTGCTGGTGCGTCTGCCCGCTGGGGGCCAGTTGGCGCAGCAGCGGCGCGGCCGCGGCGACGCCGGCCGCGGCGGGCCCAAGCGCGGCAGCGCGGGCCACGGCGGCCGCGGCGCCGGCCGCGTGGCCCGCGGCCGCAGCGGCGGCCGCCTCCGCCAGGGCCCGGCGGCGGCGGCGGCGGCGCGGCGGCCGCCGCGGCGCTGGCGGCCGCAGGGGGCGGGACCGGCCGCGAGCACGCGGAGCAGGCCCCAGCGGCGCCCGCGGCGCGGCGGCGCCCGCGGAGCCAGCGGCCTCGCCGGCGGCGGCGGCGCCAGCGCCGCGCCGGCGCCATCGGCGCCTGCGGCGCCGGCGTCGGCGGCGCCCGGCGCCACGCGGCGGCGGGCCCGCGGAGCCGACGGCGCCGCAGGCGCAGGGGCCGCCAGCGGCGCCGGCCGGCGCCCGGCGGCCGCAGAGCGGCCGCGGCGGCGCCGCCGCGGCCGCGGCGGCGGCGCCGCGGCGGCGGCGGCCGCGGCGACCGCGGGGGCGGCAGCGCCGGGGCAAGCCGCAGCAGAGGGCGGCGCGGCGGGCCGCGCAGCAGGCAGGCCAGGGGGCGGCAGTCTCGGCGGCGGCGCGGCGGGCCGCGCGGCCGCGCTGTCAGCAGGGGCGCGGCGGCGGCCGCGGCGGCGGCCCCGGCCGAGCAGCCAGCCGCCGCGGCGGGGGCGGCGCAGGCGGCAGCCAAGTGCAGCGGCAGGCCAGGCGGCGGCGCCGCGGCGGCCACGGCAGCCGCGCCGGCGGTGCCAGCTCGGCGAGCGGCCGCCGCCCGCCGCAGCTGCCGCCGGCAAGCCGTGCGCGCCGACGGCGACATCAAAGCGAGGCTTGCGACACAGAGACCCACGGCCGCGCGAGGGCTCACCGTGGGGATCGCGCGAGAGGAAAGAAAACCTGCTGCAGGCGCGCCCGCCTCGGGCCAGCCCCTCGGCAGCAGACAAACACGAAGCCGCAGGGCGACGGTTTCGTACTTGAGCCAGAGGCTACGGACTGGTGGGGATACGCGAAGCGTCAAGAATTACTGTTTAGTTACATGGTGCCGTTGACATGCATGGCCAGCCTAGGTCATGCGAGGGTGTAGCTTGACTTCAAGCGGTCAAGACTTAGACGCAAGGCCAGAACGAAGCATCGTTTCAAGGCCAATGTTTACATGTATATTGCAGGCTGGAATAATCAATGTGGGACGATGCGAATTGAGTATGAGGTGCCATGCATGCGAGATGAAAGCAGAACATCTGTAACACATCGGCTTGGTGCACAGTTAAGACGACTGGAGATGGGTGCAGCGACCAGCGCTCTCAGGCAAGAGGCGTCGGCGTGCGCTGAAGGCCGAATGATGATGGGTTCGGATGCTTGGAGGCGCATTCCTGAAATTGAGAGTTCTAGGAGACGACTAGCTCGGCTTGGCGGGAGCAGGAGGGCAATCGACAAGGAGCGCAGAAAGGCACGCTTTCATTGCCTCCTCCTTCCTATTCCCTCCTCTTCCCTGCCCCTCTTCTCCCCTCCCTCGACGAGAAGAACAACGTAAACATAAACTGTCGCAGGACCGCGCGGAATTTTGCTGGACCAATGCTGGACTCCCCTCCTCCAGCACATGGAGCGTGCCAAGGAGGGCGCCGGAGACGTAGCCAAGGGGTCCAGCCAGTGCAGATCCGAAAAATCCGTGCAGGCCTTGTGTAGGCAGTCTGGAAAGGAGAACTGTGCCTTGCGGCCTCCCTCCTACCTCCTCCCTTATCCCTTCTCCCTCCCTCTCTCCCTCCCTCCCTCCCTCCTCCCTCCTCCCTCTCTGCCTCTCCCTCAATCTCTCTCCATCTCTCTCCGTCTCTCTCTGCCTCCGATCCCTCTCCCTCCTCCTCCTCCTCCTCCTCCTCCTCCTCCTCCTCCTCCTCCTCCTCCTCCACTGGGAGAGAATTCCACTCCTTTCCCCTTTCCGCTCCTGGCAGGCCCGCTCCCGCTCTTGGGGCCTCCCGAGAGGATTTTGGCGTAGCCGCCCTCGCCCCAGTCCTTGCCCGGCGGGCGGGGCAAAAGGAGCGAGAACCTGGACCTCTGGTGTCGCGAGGAACCAAATCACGGTGGCGTCTCTGGGGTGGAAAATCGCGACGTCGGAGGCACGGGGAGCGGAGGGGGATGAGAAAGAGGAGGAGGACGAGGAAGAGGAGGATGAATAGCAAGGGGGTGCAAGAGAACGAGGCGACGAAGTCACCATGGTCCTTCCCCTGCCCAAGCGAAAGGAGTGCACGTCGTGCCAACTCGCTGACACTGTGGAGCTGCAGCGCGCCACCGTAATGTCTACCTCTGCGACTGCAGATGGTGGCTGGCCAAGGGCATTGATCACCAGATGGCGGGTTGTAAAATTTGGACATCGTTCGGTACGGGATCGGATGTATTGCGACGCGTCCATGCTGCTTACCAAGCTTGTTCAGGATAAAGAGATGCTAGCATGCTAATGAAGCCTGTGTGGAGATGTCCGCACTGGGCGAGCAAGTAGCGAAGCGCTACGATTCCCAGGCAGCATCAAGTGATACAACTATGCATGCGTTTTTAACTATGATCTGAATTGGTGCAACGTCGAACGGTGTTGACAGCATTGCTAGGGAGATCGATGTAACCGATGGTAAACGATCACAAGGAACTACTGGCAAACAACACAGCTCCTCAAAATTCCGTGACAGGTCTCCATCGTGGAAGACATTCAGCTCGAGTGATCAAGACTCCAAGAACAGAATGGGTCAACGCCATGACATCATCAATCAGACGACATCGTGACTCTCTTTTTCTTCCTCTCTCTCTCTCTCTCTCTCTCTCCTTCTCTCTCTCTCTCTCTCTTTCCCCATGCTGCCGTCGCTGATCTCTAGGCCATGCAGACCTAGATCAAACAAAAAAAGGAGAAGGAGGAAAGCTCGAAACGATGGCTTTGGGGCACCTTCCTACCCGCTATCGGGCCCAGCTTCCCGGGATGCACGGTGGTCGCAGGCGTCCATCGCGGTCAATGCTCAAAGTCTGGGCGGTGGTTGGGCCTAAGCGAAGGCAAGATGGGGGAAGAGGTAGCGTTCCTGCACCGTGCCTGGCCCCGGCGGCAAGCGCCAGCGAGCTGGGCCGAGGAGCCCGAGGCCCTGCTGGCGCCGGGCCTGGGTTGGACCTGACGCGCGAAGACACCCAACCGCGCAGGACGATCAAAAAGGGTACGGAAAGAACGGGCACAAAAACCGGCAACATGTCCGTTCATTTTGACACATCATTTTGAACAGGACTCGCTGTCAGTAGCGCCACGGACGTTGTCCATTTGAGACATAGACTGCCTGCCCAGCAGCGGCCGCTGTCGGGTATCGTACACATATGTTCCGCACCCATTTCGGGCGTCCAAAACCGCCTCCACGGAGCATTCGAGGACCACTGGGGACTTCACCGAGGGCGTGGCCGCGGGAGCCATCCGCGCCCAGTCCCCCGCAGAGACCGCCTCGCCGGGATCCTTCTGCGGCCTCGGGGGGGCCTCCGCGGGCCACTTCTGGAAAAGGAGGGAGGGGAGGGGAGAGAGGAGGGAGGGGGGAGGGAGGAGCAGGGAGGAGGAGGGAAAAGGAACGACTGAGGAGGTAATGGAGGGGGAGGAGGAGGAGGAGGAGGAGGAGGAGGAGGAGGAGGAGGAGGAGGTAGGAGGAGGAGGAGGAGGAGGGGGAGGAGGGGAGGGGAGGAGGACAGGAGGCTTAGGAGGAGGAGAAGGATGAGAGGAGGAGGGGAGGGAGGGGAGGCTTAGGAGGAGGAGGAGCGCGCTTTTGACGATTAGGGATGTGGGAGGAGGGAGGGAGTTGGACGGGGGAGGGAGGGCCAGAGGAGGGGGTGGGGGAAGGGAGGACGAAAGAGGGAAGGGGGAGGGAGGGGGAGAGGGGGGAGGAGGGAGGAGGGAGAGGAGGGAGGAGGGGGGAGGAAGAATGGGGGGAAGGAAGGGGGGGAGAGGCGGGAGGAGGGAGGGGGGGGGAGGGAAAGCGGAGGGGGCTAGAGGCGACGGCCCAACACGCCCGAGGGGTCGGCGGCGTCCGGGCCCCACGAGTTCTCGATGAGCCAGTAACCCTTGCCCTGCGCGGTGGCGGGGGGTTCTGGGCAGCGCCCCCCGCGGCGGCCAGGACAGCTCGGCATCGACCCGGGAGACCGAATCGAATTTGCGTGCGTCGGATCGGGCCGCATCGGCACGGACCCATACACTCGGGTATAGGCCAGAAAAAAAAAATCCTTCAAAAACATAAGACTCTCCGTCGGCGAAAAGGAACATAACATCCAAGGATACCCTCCCCAGGATGCACAAGAACATCCAACAAACACAAAGAATACTACGGTACCCAGCCCGAAACGACCTCGATCTTATACATCGGTCAGGTTGTACATGCAACTTCCTGAAAGCATCAGGACGATGGTTCTTCTCGACTTTCGGCCGCTAGAGGCCGGCACCAGAGACCGACGACAAGATGCGAACGAGCAATATCGATCACATAGCGGTACCGACGGGAACTTTACCACGCGTGCGAAGGCGCACTGCATTGAGAGGAGTAGCAGGAAATGGGCCGAAACTTAAAGCGAGGACACAGAGGCCCCATCCCTATGGGCATCGACATCTGACTGGAACGTCAATCCCACCAGCCCTCTGGGCTTAGTTGGTATAACGCGTTTTGTCTTCTCTTTTCCACTGAAGCTCCTCCCCGTACTCCCCCCCTACCCCCAAGACAACCCCAAGACGGATCCAAGTGCCCTTCGAGCCCTCCACGGCGCCCTCCAAGATGCCAAAACCGTTCAACAGCCTATGGAAAATTATGGGCTTTGGAAGCCTCAATATGGCCCCAAGATGGCCCAAAAGAGGCCCAAGAGGGGCCAAGAAGGCCACGGCCCCCTATGGAAAATTATGGGCTTTGGAAGCCTCAATATGGCCCCAAGATGGCCCAAAAGAGGCCCAAGAGGGGCCCAAGAAGGCCGAAAACGGCCCCAAGATCGCCCAAAAGGCGCCCAAGAGCGTTCCGAGAGGACCCCAAGCTGCCGTTTGAGAGCCTCCGAGGGGGGGGGGGGGGGGGGGGGGGGCGAATTGTCCCTCCCCTCTCTTTTTGAGCCATGGTGCCCAAGACGGCCTCAAGAGGCCTCCCGGACCCCCCAAAGTGCCCCAAGAGGGCTCCAAGACTCTCCCAAAAGATCCCCAAGAGTGCCCCAAGAAGGCCTCAAGAGGACCCCAAGAGAGCCCCACGATGGCGCCAAAATGGCATTACGAATCTTCGAAAAACTTCTCACCACAACATATCCTCAAAGCTCGACTTCTCGTCCTCCTTGTCATCGTCCGTTCCTTCCTTGCGTCTTTCCTGCCGCCCCCCTGCCCTCTTCATCCTCCTCGCGCCGCGTTCCCACTGCTCCTCCTCCTCCTCCTCCTCCTCCTCCTCCTCCTCCTCCTCCTCCTCCTCCTCTTTTCCCTCCTCATTTTCTGTTTGTCCTCCTTTTCCTCCTCCTCCTCGTCCTCCTCCTCCTCCCCAAGAGGACCCCAAGAGGGCCCTAAGATGGATCCAAGTTTCGAAGCGGATCCAGCCTTGGCCAAAATAGCGCCCCAAGATAGCCAAGCATCGCTCAAGATAGTCTCCGACAGACGTCCAAAAGGCCTCAAGACAACCTCAAGATGGCCCAAGATAGCCGAACATGTTTCAATATTGCCTCCGACCGCCTCTCGCCGAGCATGGCTCAATATAGCCTCCAAGAGAGGCCCCAAGAAAGCTGGCAATCACTTATGGATGGGCTGGCGGGGATAGTTGTTTTTGGTCGCGGCCGCAAGCGAAGGCGCAGGCGGCGGGTCGGTAAGTCCGGGGCGCGGTCCTTACTAGTTTACAGCGAACAGCAAACTAGAGCGCGGGGTCAAACCTAAGCTGCCTGAGCCGCCGAGCTGCACTGCGGTGAGCTGGGGGCGCCGAGGCCGGCAGGTTGGAAGCGGTCCACCAACGCCGACAAACATCACATTGCCAGACCAAACTGAATCAGGCTGGTGGGGAAATGCAGGAATCGCAGGCCAGGGTGCCGATGCTAGTAGTTTCCACACATCACTTGCCACGAAAGTAATTAGCAGTGCCAGGGTAAGAAATCCAGGAACGGCTGACGGCAGTCTGCACGTGCGTAGCAGGATACCGAATCCAATCCAGGAGTGGCTTAGCGACCCGGGCAAAGCATAGCACCCGAAGGCCAGGAACGGCTGACGGCCATACATACGCGCGTAGGCCAACCCCGACTGAACCAGGCTGATACCATGCAGAACGGCCGGTGCAAAACGGCAGCGTGAACGCCAGGAGCCAGGAAAGGCTGACGGCCGTCTGCACGTGTGAAGCATGAAACCGAAACCAAGCCCGGGAACATGACACAGCGGCCAGGACATAGCATAGCGCCCGATGTCCAGATACGGCTGACGGCCGCACATACGTGTTTAACCGGACCAACACCAGGAGCAGGAGCTATGGCGTCCAGAAACCACAGCGTGCAGCCTTGTCGCCGCGACGGCGCCAGAGGCGGAAGCAACCCAGAGCGCGCCGAGGTAGACCGATGGGTATGCGCGTCGCCATCGTTTTTTGGGGGTCCCAGGGACCTCGGCGAATCGATCGGCCGCTCCTACTCCTCAGCTTCGGCATCCTCCTCACAGCTCCTCAACTCCTCCTCCTCCTCCTCGCTGTCCTTTTCCTCGCCGCCCTCATTCTGGGAGGGCATATGGGGGGACGGGGAACACGACGGGTGGCCACATGACGGGAACGGCTCGATCACCGAGCAGCGTGGGCGAGGCGAAACGCACGAAGGGAGGGAAAAAGGACGAATAGGAGGAGAGGGCGGAAGGGGGGCGCGGGAGTGCAAGAGTGCGATTACGAAAGGGAATTGGGATCGGAAGCGGGATCGATCGACGGACGATTTTGATGGGGAGCCCGCGACCGAGTCCGTTCCAGAGTTCTTGCGCGCGCTCCGCGCGCCCAGCGGGCAATGGCGCGGAACGGGAAGGGCGAGGCGTTGGGGGGGAGGGGGAGAGGGGAGAGGAGAGGAGTCGGAGAGGAGGCGTCTTCCATCTCATCCTCTCACCCCTCCCCGCCTGCCATTCGAACGCGCGCCCCTCTACGCCTGGCGACAACGAACAACGGATTAACCCAGACGATCGACGATTGCACGATTGCGCATTGCACGTGTTAGTGCTGGTCGAGCGCTCTGCCGCCCGAGCAACTGCTGCGCAGATGTCCCCCACACAGATAGCGAAGTGAAACTACGCAGTACACTTAGTAATTATGTCAGGGCACCGCTCAATCTCCTCGCGATCGGGCGCGTCGCCAGGCTGCCTGGCCCTCTTACCCATCACCCTTCGGCGCACGGATTGCTGCTGGAGCCGGGGCGGGAAGGAGAGCTGCTCAGCATGCGCAAAATGCGCCATGAGAGACGATGGGCCAGGCTGCCGATTGCACGCCGGCGACCGCTGCGGCTTGGCGAGAGCGAGTCTCGCCCACATGTATAAGAGGCCAAGGACCTCAAGGCACAGGGCCATGCCGTTGCCGATTTGGTGCAAGATGGCGCTCCGCTTGCGCTCGGGCAGGCCGAAATCGGCCCTCTCGAAGTTGAAGCTGCACTCCAGGCCGAAATAGCGCAGCGACGGGTAGATCGGGTAGTTGTGGACCGTCAGCAGCTCGGGCCAAGTCAGCCATCTGCCCTGCGAGGGCGAGTAGAACAGATCACAGTGCTTAGTGATCGTCTGCGTGCTCTTCTTGAAGTTATTGTGCGACGGATGCTTCGCATAGTGCTGGCCCAGTGCGTAGATCCCGTGCGGGTCGATCGCCTTGTAACCCTCCATGTTGGCTAACTCCCAGTCCTGGAGGAGAAGCGCCCAGTCATGCACAGGAAGCCTCATCATGGCGGCCCCCAGTGCGGCCGCACCCTTGGCGCCCGTCCGCGGCTCGCACCAGGCCTTCTCGGCCGCCGCGTGCGCGGACCCAGGCCCTTCCTGGAAGTAGTGGGTCCAGTCGATCAAGCACTCCCTCTTGGCCAGCTCACAGAAGTCGGCGAACGCGCTACCCAGGGGCATGGACTCCAATGCCGATGCCACGACGTGGCGCTTGTGCCACATGATGGTCAGCCTGCGCTCTCGCTCGTACGGCTGGCCGAACTGACTAGGGTACAAGACGCAGCTCATGCGCTCGGTGACCACGTAGACGTCGCCCAACTCGTCCACGAGAAGCTGGAAGGGGAAGCCGTTGACGTTCTCGTGGTAAATGATGGATTCCTGTATTGCTGCCGACGGACCGTAAGTATGCCAGCGCGCGCTCGAGCGTGTGTTCGGTCCATTGGTTGGCAGCCTGGAAATCCCGCGCTTCGGGAAGATGGCGCGGCCGCTGTCGGCCCGCGCCAGACGAGGCTGCCTGTCCAGAGGACATAGTAGCCCGAGCGCCAAAATGCTCGAGCCTAAATGGTACGGACGTGGAGACGTCGGAAACCCCCCAACGAACCACCCCTGGTCCCTGGTCGCATTGAAGCCGGAGAGGGGGAGGGCGGGCGGGCGGGGTTCCCCAGGGCCTTGCAAGCAAGACTCCGCAGATCACCTGAGACGGCCCGAGACATGCGGCATACAGCATACAGGATGGGGCCACGTAGGCCCCCAAGAGCGCGCGTCGCGGCCCGGGCCCGAGAGACCCGAGAGATATCACGATATGTCGACCACGCGACCCCCAACAAGCGACCCCGGAGGAGGATGGGAGGGAGGAGGAGGAGGAGGAGGAGGAGGGGGGGAGAGGAAGAGGAGAGGAAGGAAATGCTGGCACACACGCGCACACACTCACACACACACACACACCAACCACACGATCCACCTCCCGAAGGCCCGAGTGTACCCGAGCTCTCTGTGGATGCAAGACCCAGGTGCAGAGCGCGGGGCGTGGGTCGCAGCGAAATGAGATCGGGAACAGGACGCACGGACGCAGGTCAGGCGTAATCTTGGCGCACAGGGTGGGGGGGGGAAGGGGAAGACATGGCACCGGGGAGGGCTAGAATAACGGACATATGCCCGAGTAACGGGGAGGCCAGCGGAGTCTTGCGGAATC